ATGGGAAAAATGGACATCATATATGCAAAAGTAGAATAATCAATGTCACCTAGGCTTCTGTTTTGTTTTATTTCCTTCCATTGTCATTATTATTTCTCCTCTTTTTATATTTTCTTATGTTTACAAACCTATCAAATATAATAAAAATAAAGTGATAAAAAAAAGAAAATGGGATCTTCTCCTTAATTTTAAATTTTGTATTTTGTATTTATATTTTTACCCTTTGTTATTATATTTATTGTGTGAGCTGAGTCTAAATAATGAGATTTGTTTCTTCCACCATCTGATCTGAAGGCAATATCTTACCAACAACCACATTGTTCCCACCTGAATTTTGGAGAACTTTCATTATCTCCTTATGGTTGTCCAATCAAACTCAACTGGAATATTAAAAAATGACATGTACCCTTTTCTCCCCTCATCTTAATTTTACCAGTTTAAAAATGGGTAAACTGAGCACCAATACCGATATACTGCCATTATTGTCTTTACCACATTAATAACCCTTAAATAAATCCTAAACCAAAGTCTCTAGGGTTTGAAACCTTAGAAACCTTGTAACAGAGGAGGACATTACCAATTTTCTGATATCCCGGCAAGGCCTAACAAATGATCCTTTTGTTTGGCACCAGATCTGGACTTTGGACAGACGAAGGCTCTTAATGTCCAGCAGGGTGTGGGTCTGTGGTGGGACGTCTGGCCAGATGTATTGGCCCCCTACCTCTGTCCTACCCTCCTCACACACACACACACACACACACGTTCACACACACACACACACATACACACACACTTCTCCACATCCAGCCGCACACCCAGACTGTTGGCTCGGAGGCGCCATTAACCAATTTAGCTTCCAGATGTCCATCATGGAGACACAGCCAAAGCCACACAGCTCTTCACGTACATGGGTGAGAACAACCCACACGCGCACATACATCCACAAGCTGTGATATACTGATGCAAGACCTAAATCACATTCATATAGATACTAATGTTTCCACTTTAACACATTGAACACAGCTTCCTTGGAAAATAATAGTGTGAAATCTGATTGACAAGGCATCCCACAAAACTCACTTTTTTTTTTACTTTTCAAAAAATGATCTTCACCATCTGGAGAAAAGGAGTGCTCCTCTTGATATCCAGGACCCCCAGACGCCAACGCACGCCAACTCACCCAACTCAGAAGTTTAAATTTCACGTCACAAAAAACATTTAAACCCAAGCACCAGACAAGCGTGCATTCACTTCTCCAAAACGGACAGATGCTGCACCTCTAGAGGCACAGAGACCCAGCAGATGTTTGCCAGCCAGTCAGATGGGCGAGCATTGATAGTTCATGAATATTTTACACTCAGTCAAAATGGCCGCATTCCAGACCGCCTACAACACAACAGCAGCCGCGTCAGGCAGGCCCAAGTGATCCCAGCATTAAATTGTATATGGACCCACTTCCTCCCACTGTCAGCTTAACAAACACAGGCATGGAGAAATCTCTTCTTTGGTTCGATGACACAATGAGTTGGTGAAATTTGAGAAGAAAAACCGAGAAGTTTGTTTCTCAATTTTCCAACGGTGAGTCTAGCAGAAGAGGTGTAATTTTGAGCACTTCTCAATGTGGGTTTATGTGATGGATGGAGAGAGATGGCACAGTGGAACTATTGTGAAGAATTCATCCAATAGTCAGTTTCAGTTCAAAATTAAAGGTGCACTGTGTAACTTTTCAGGTGGGAGATCTGTCAGCTATATAGCTTTGTGGAAAGTAGAGAGGGCCCACTTACTGTAAGAATTGGGGATGCAATAACACCATTTCCTCATTATTTCATTGTGTAATGGGGTCATGATATCAGTGAAAAACTCCAATACATTTTAGGCCTCAGAAGAACAAATAGGTTTTCCCTTAGTATTTTAAAGGTCCTGTATTACGCAAAATGGAATGTTATGAGCTTTAGGCTATGTTATAATGCTGTTACCTCATCAAAAACATATGTAATTGTGTTTTGTTTCATTTGCACATGTTTGAGTAACCATTTGATTATTTGATTATCTCTAAAGCTCAAAATGCTCTTTTTCACTTTGTCAAGAGGCGGCATAATTTTCAAGTTAATGGCTAAACCTTTCCCACTAGTTCAGTAGATTGACAATTCCAGAAATCATCCAAATGATTCTAGTGAATGTGTATGAGATTCAAAAACACAGAGGAGCACTTCCTGTACATTACAAAGTAGAACTGAATGTATTCTGTTTGAAAGAAGAATCCAGCCTAAATATGCAGGTTTTGTGTGTTAAACATGTGAATATATAGCTCCACTACAACAAAATACAACTCCAGGAATATTTTAATAAGGAAACATTATAACATAGATAAAAAAAATAGTGTAATATGGGCTGTTTGATAATCAATAAACATTGAATTAAATAAACATTATCTTTTCTCTGTTTAAATACTGTAAAGTTGGACCATTATGGCACTGATTTCTCTCTGTATTTGCTTACAGAGCCACACGTGTAATGTATTGTGTGGGTCATATTGAACAGTCCAGTATTATGTAGTATTATTGCTTTTGCTCTCTCAAATTTTTCACCCATTTCTAATGATAGACAAAGGTAGGTGCTCATTTGGAAAAGCATGATTTATTCTTGCAAGTAAAAGCAGGTTTTAAATTGACCAGAAATATTTCTCAGAGCTGCTTCAACACGCCTTTAAACTTTTCCCACCAGAGTTAAACATATATCTTTCTTGGGGGGTCAGGGGGGACTTTCAAAACATTTTATTTTATGATTATGGCAAAATCTGACTGTAAACAGAAAACACCTTGTGCTTTATTGACTTGTAATCTGAGTAATTTGCTGAAAAGATGTAGCTGTGGAGGGACACGTGCAGGACAAAAGAGATTTATCATGGAGGTTGTGTTTTTGTTTTTATTGGGCACAGCTGATTTTTGTCACCTGCTGTTTCTATCCTCACACAATGAATAAACCACGGGTCCCTCTGTCAACAACAGAAACTGAATTTAAGTCTAAACATTATCACATAATATATTAAGAACAGATTTAACGATGTGTCCACAGCTGTTTCTCTGAATCATTTATTTAAGGATTTTAATTACTAAGCAGGGAAGGCTATGGAAAAATAAAATGTAGACATTGGCCAATATCCCAAGCAATGTTGTCTATGTAGTCTTTTCATGTAACATTTTACATTTTATTACAGAACTTTTTATTTTTAGTTAGGTATTTCAGATCAGATTTGAACTGTTCACTCATGATCATTTCCCCTTTCTGATCTAAACTGGTCGGGGTTTTCCTCAGAAACTCCCAATAACTACAGCTGCGGAGCAAAGACACGTGCGTGTGTAGTAATCATATGGGATCTACAGCGACCTCCAGAGGCAGAAAGGAGAACACATCTTTTACAAAAGTTCACCATGTTTCTCATCATGTAGTCTAATGTTATTATTCAACTGTAGAATAGCCTGTCTTAACGTCACATTTTCCTTATTTTCCTAAATGTATTGTGTACAGAGTGAACAGCTGTGCCTATTTGCTCATAAGTTCATCATTCATTAATCATTCTAGCCAAGTAATTACTTGGCAAAAATAGGCCTTCAACTTGTACTCACAGAAAAAGTCAAATTTTACTTTATTTTAAATGTTGATGAGACAAAGCATCTGTCATACAACATCATACTGAAATGTAAAAATTCCAGAAAAATCTTTTGAAAAATCATTAACAAATTCTGAGGCTCTCACATTCACACACACACATCTGTAAACACAGCACCTGCTGTGACTTTGACTAGTCTGGGGGGGGGGGGAAAAAAATAAATCTGTTTCTAGTATGATAATGGCAAATACAATTATTCAGTCTTCTGTAAATATGTTGGTAAAGGTGAGTTATTGCCTAAATTAACTTATACTTGTAAATGTTAGAAGTAAGAAGCTATTTTTGGTGTGATCCTGTGCTGCTGCACTGTGCCTGCTCAGGGCTAATTGTATTTGTTATACTTGTCTGAACAAGGAGCTCATTGTAATATGCTGGTTACGGGGATCCCCAAATTGATAGACACACAACAGGGTCAGTGTTCATTTGCATTTTAACAAATCCTTCAGCTATGACACCGGATTGTGTGAATTCATTACCATACAGAGCTGCACTTCATCCAGCCATCCATTAGTGACGCCAATTAGTTTACTGGGACAAGTTTAGGAGATGCAAATCAGACAGGCTCACTTAGAGCTGCCCAGAGCCTCCCTGTCCAAGCAGCCATGATGGATGCTGCTCAAGGTGGTGAGCCTGTGACCTATTGGACAGTTTTTTTTTTGTTTTTTTTTATCTGAGAGTGTAATACCAAAATAGGCTGCTAAATACTAAAATGACAACAGATATAAATATTTTAAACAAGCCACTGGGCATTCTTTGTTCCTATTGTTTCAAGAATTTGCTGTGATTAAACCATAAACAAGCTCAAGTAGGCTGACAGCCTTTTTCACTCATGGTCTTTTATGGGCTAAAGGCATATATTGTAGTATAAGTAGGTGATAAGAAGAGCAAATGATGCAAGACAATAAAACATCAAGTTAATCCTACTTCCAAAATGTAGACTATTGATAAGATCAGTTTTTCAATATCATATTGAACAAACTCATGAAGTTTAAAGGCCTACTTATTGTATCTTACATGTATAAATATTTATTTTGTACAATATATGATGCCATATGGTGAGTTTTTAAGGCCTTTATAACATTGAGATTTAAGTGACTACTATGGTACACCTGTTAAAGTTGTGACTGCTTTAACTGTATGAGTCCAGGGTGGTTATTGTAAAGTCATTTCAATATAGTGGGTCAGCTTTACAATGTTTCCTGTCAAGGTGGAGGTGCACCTGCCTCTCAGCCCCGCCTCTCCAGCCCCAGTCCTGACCATTGTCCGGACCTGACTACAGTACCCAAAGCGCACCGCGGTCCCTCGCTCTGCGCCAGTCCGCCTCGTTGACTCGCAGAACCAGTTGGTTTGGCCCAGCCGCCCAGCTGCTTCTTCTTTCCTGCCTTCTCACTGTGTGTGTGCTGCTGTGGTGTGTGCCTGGTGTCAACCTACGCCGACGAGCGCACATATATCCCTCCCTCTCCTCTGTTGGAGGGCCGCTTCCAATTTGCCTTCACTTTCCTTCTCGCCGGCTTCATTGGCTTCCGCGCCGTGCCAGTCAACTCGCCTCCTCTCCCAGCCCGAGTTGAACAGCAACAGCTCGGAAACATCTGGCCGCCGCAGAGTGCTACACTCCCCGTCCCTCCGACGCTCACCTCGGCAGCCTGTTATGGAAATGAGTCTAAACTCTATTTAGTTTGGTCTCCGAGGGAAAGACGGCGATCTGACGGTGGACGCGGAGGAGACATTGGAGCTTGTTGTCTGTAAGTGCAGTGTCTAATAGTCCGATTAAAGGAGGCTCAGCAAAGAGAGAGAGGCTGGGTTACGGAGGGGAAAAAGTAGCTAAATCTTCCTTAGCATGACTGTGTTGTCTCTTTGCACTAATAGTTGCCATGTTGCTCTCCTTCCGCGGTGTTTTAGCAGCTGTTGTCATAGCAGCCGGGCCTGGCGCACAACTGTAAAGACTGAGATATTGTAGTGCCTGTTCGCTTTACTTTTGTTAGCAATGGTCGGGCTATAGCTAGCTGCGTGGGTCAGTGCCTGTGTGAGCCACTCTTCTTTCTGTTTGTCTTTTACATTTAATTACCCTCATCTTGCTCTGTCAGCTTGTTTAGCGGCAGTCCAATGTTAGTCCAGTGTAACAACCAAGTTATACGCGATTTCTCAGCTGGGCAAAGCTCTGAGGAGCTCTGAGCTGACAATTTAAGCAGCTTAAATTTGTTAAAATAACAAGTGAAAAATCTAAACAAAGCTCTGGTAATTAATTTCACATTTCCTGGTTAGTAATATTGCACTGTCACAGTGTACTACAAAATAGAAAATTGCTAAAATTATAATGATCAAAGTCTACTAGTGGTGTAATAAAGTTTTAAGATGCAAAAGCAATTGGGTACTGTTAAAACTGTCCCACCAACATGAAAAAGCTACTACGGTATTCAAACAAATTTTTTATTATATTTTTGAAACATTTCACATATATTGTGTAATTTAACGTCTTAATTTTGTCACTTTTATCAGCATATTATCTTAATCTCGCATTACATTGGGTAATTTTTTTTTTTAATTAATGTTATCAAAGTCCATTGTAATAGTCCAAATGCCCTATTATAAAGTATTTATTGATTGTGTTAACTTTATTTTTGTTGTGAACTTCTAGAGGTAATAAAAATAATCATGTCATCCTAAACTGAAATGAAAGCTTGGATTTTGAATGGCAGCTTTTGTAAGTTTCTCTGTGGCTTATTAACTACTCATGGCCCTTTTGTTTGGCCTGCTCACTCATTAGGTTCTTTTGGATTTGGCCCCATTGTTTTCTCATTTCATTTTTGTCCCTGTCACTTGTCCGGAGGGTCCTTGTAGGGGGCACAAGGATGAATGAATGAATGAGGCACTGAATGAATACAAGACAAGGCAGTGGCGCTGAAGCGTAAAGAAGTGGGAAACAATATCAGCTGCGTGCGTCTGTCAGTTGTAAATGTGCCTTGTTTTCTTTTGTTATTACTGGAAGGAGCTGGAGACCCAGGCAAGTGTTTTGAAACAAGAATTGCTAAAGTTTTACCTGAAAGTTTTATTTGCTCAAGACTTGCTGAAAGTATGACTGAGGTATTCAAACTGGTTACTTTTTTCCCTATAAAATGCAAACAGCACCCTCCTGCATTTTGCATTGTTGTGCTTTTCCCACAGAAAGAATAAAGGCTCAGAGAACAGTGAGGGAGACTGTGAGCTGTGGGACAAAGTTGTGTGGTGTTGGTATTGGTAGAATGAAAGAGGAGTCTGGTGGCAGGAGTGTAGAGGAGGCAGCATATGGCTGTAGAAAGAGCACAGCTGGAGGTAGCATCTCCATCTGAGGATGATGTCAGAGCAGCTGACAGGCTGCCATCCACCCCACCTCCTCCTCCCTCTCTCCCTCTCTCCTTCCCTCCGTCGCTCCCTCCCTCTCTCCCTCCCGCTCCTTTATTGTGAGCCTCAGCGGCAGCCTGGGAGAGTTAGTGCTTTGAGTGTGTGTGTGTGTGTGGGTGTGTGAGTGTTTGTGGCTGCCGATCAGCGCCAGTTAGTTAGGAGGAGGAGGGAGGTGGTATCTCGTTCCCCCTCCAACATCTCCTCCACTTTGCATCTGTCCCTCGCAGTTTGAACAGCGTGTTTTTTTCTGCCTGCCTCCCTCTTCTTGTCTTCTACCCACTCATTGATTCAGAGAAAGACTGAGCGAGGAAGAGAAAGAGCAAGAAAGAAAGATAGTGAGGGAGGGATACGAGCCAGAGCCCAGCTATTCTGCAACAGTGGAGTTAATCAAGTTGATGCATACTGCTACAGGTACGGTGTGTGTGTGGGGGGAGTTTGGGCGAGTTGTTTAGTTTTGTTGTGTGTCTGTGCGCAGCGTGTCAAACCGCGCTGAGAGAAACTGCAGCTGAGTGGAGTAGTAAAGTCGTGCTGCTGCTCCTGTCTGTGGGCTAATTGCAGTCCGGGAGCTGGTACTGTGTTATGTTTGACTCCAAAGACTTCAGCTACTGTTTTCTCTTCATGTTGTCTCATTTTTATCCAGGAAAAATAGCTGCATACAGTGTACGGCAGAATGATTTACTGAAGTATTTTTTTATTTAGGGAAAATGTTTATATCTGCTTATGTTTTATTAACATTATCAACATATACTGTAAATATTGATATAATTTTAATTTTACATTATAGAAGTTTAAAGTCATGTTTCGCTATAGCAAAAGGTTTTTTTTTTTTAAACTGACTATGCCTTTTAAAAATATCTTATTTCTTATAATCAGTTTTTGTTCCCTTGCCATAAAATTACTTGAAAGCGTGTGTGCGGACTGCTCTAGCCACTCTTCTCCCCTGCTGTCGGCTGGAGTAGAGGAGACTAATTTAGAAGTTGCAGATTTGAGCTGCCTGAATTGGCTAGACAGCTGTAATCGCACTCCCTCCTAGTCTTAATCTCTTTATCTGGCTAGCAGCTGCCATATGGCCCCCGTCAGCTGGATCAGATGTGGGTAAGCCTCCCTCCCTGCCCCGGCATGGCTGTCCCGGGCTGTCCCTCTCCTCCCAAACACCCAGACTTGTGCTGGGGTCCCCTCTCCTCTATGACTCCCGGGCACTGCCTGGCATGGTCAGCGGCTGGTGAAGAGCCACTGCCCTCCTGAGCTCGTACCACGACTCCCTCTGCACAGTCTCCACTCTGCTGCGGCCGACTTTATTTTTAGCCATCTTTAAGGATTAGGATTGATGCTGTGACGAGCAGGGCACTTACAGTGATTGTATTGTAAATCTTCTCTTCTTGGTTGGTGGTGGGCGGAGAAGAGGGGTGAGGGACGGGGCAGAATAAGGTGGCGTGGATGTGCGGGACAGTTTTCTGTAAGAGAGAAGTGCGTGAGGAAGGGTCCTGCGTAAAAAGAGGAGGTGCAGAGGGGTTTGGCTGGACAGGGGGAGGGGTGGGAGGAGGTGGGACACCCTTGTCCCCGTAAGCCCCTCATTAAAAGCAGTCTGTAGGAGCCTGAGGGCAGCAGCACACATAGACAAGAGGCAGACAGCACACACGCACTCACACATCCGGACACTCTGGGTTTAGCTTCATTCAAATGAGCTGATTTAACTGCTTTGGTTAACACCGCGTAGAGCAGGAGCCATGTATTTTCTCAGACAGGACAAATCTACTTGGCTAACAGGTGAGGCTTAATTCTTATACACTTAGTCTTCTTGTTTTCTTTCAATTTCAGATCTTCATAAACTTTGATGTAATACTTTTTTAAAATTTTATTCTCTAAATTTGCTCATGAGCTGGACTTTGCAGGTTAAGGGACAAGTCAGTGTGCAACAGTGTAAAATCATTTGAGTAGTTTTGCTTGTAGACTTAGTCTGTGGAGGTGTTTAGTAGGCTGCTGTGTGTACGTGAGGACAGTGTGTGCAGCTGAAAGCCGGTTACCTAAAAGGGCTGTGCCAGGCCAGGCCAAAGTGGGTTAATAAAAATAACCAGCGTAGGAGCAGCGACAATCCAGGAGTGCAGGCAGAGGAGTTAGAGAGATGCAGTGAGAAAAGCACAAGCTGTATCAGTGCGATGCCTTCTCGCTGTCGGGCTAAAATCATCTTCTAAATAACTTCTTTATTTTGTCTCCAGTCCATTTGTACTTTTTATGAGAAAACAGGATATTTCAGTCGAAAACTCAGTGTGAATTGAGAGCGCTGAATGGGCATCTCGAACAATGTTTTCTAAGAGAATTTTTTAAAATGATTTATTGAAATATACTCATGTAATTTTCTTGCATGATTTTTTTTTTAAACAAACAAAAACATTTCAGTTTTCTGGTTCTTTTTCTTTTATTTTGCCTCTGTCAGCTTTTGCATGACATTTGTCTCATTTTATGGTGATTGACCTAATTTGTATTGACAGCTGCTATTGTAAATTAATTTAGAAAGAATGATTTTTAGCTGTGTCAAATGTCAAATGTCATTTCTTTACACAATAACCTTTAAAATTTTATTAGAATATTCATTTAAATGAAAAATATGTATTTAAAAAATATTTCCATTGTTAAAGCTGACACATGACGAGAGTCCTTTCTGACACATTTCACTTCTGTGTGTGTGCAGGTTATGAGGACGGCAGGATGGAGTTCCCAGACCACAGCAGACATTTGCTCCAGTGTCTGAGTGAGCAGAGGCACCAGGGCTTCCTGTGCGACTCCACCGTGCTCGTGGGCGATGCTCAGTTCCGCGCTCACCGCGCTGTGCTGGCCTCCTGCAGCATGTACTTCCACCTCTTCTACAAGGACCAGCTGGACAAGAGGGACGTGGTCCACCTCAACAGCGACATCGTCACAGCGCCTGCCTTCTCTCTGCTCCTGGAGTTCATGTACGAGGGCAAACTGCAGTTCCAGAACCTGCCCGTAGAGGATGTGCTAGCGGCCGCCAGTTACCTGCACATGTACGACATTGTCAAGGTGTGTAAAAAGCGGCTGAAGCAGAAGGCCACGGCCGAGGCCGACAGCACGCGTAAAGAGGACGACGGCTCCAGTTGCTCGGACAAGGCCGACAGCCTATCAGACGGCTCCACAGGGCGACCCGCCACCGCCGACCTGCTGCACAGTGACGAGGAGGAGGAAGGGAAGACAGAGGCAGCACCACTGTGGCTCAGGCTGCCCTCCGACAGACCAGCCACCCCCGCCATGGCTTCAGGCAGTCCCGCTAACGGAGAGGCCGAGACCCAGAGCGCAGAGAGACTGGCAGAGCAGAAGCTGCTCTCTCCGGCTGGCAGCCCCAGCAGCTCCACTGGTTCCCTATCCCGGAGGTCCCCACACTCCATCAGCTCCCGTAGAGACCACCGGGGACGCAGGGTGTCCAACGACACCGCCGACTGTGTCCTAGACCTGTCTGTCAAACCTATAGGCAGCAACCACAGCAGCCACCAACCGCCATACTTCAGCGGGACAGCCACGCCGGACAGTCTACAGAGCCCGCTAGCCGTCAGGGTCAAGGTGGAGAGAGGTGTGGCGTCAGACGAGGATGAGGAGCTGGGAGGAGGGGATTATGACATGGAGCACAGTGGACTCAAGGTGACAGCCCCCAGTACCAACGGGGGTTTGACCCACCACATGGTGGGGGGTCCTCTGTCGGCCCAGAGAAGACTGGGTCTGGAGGCGCACCTGTCAGCCCTGCGCGAGGCGTCTCTGGCCTCAGAGCTGGAGCGAGAAGACAAGGCTCCAACAGGTGCAGACGACGAGGACCTACTGGGTGGTGAAAATGATCGTACCCAGACTGAGGCGGGCACTATGGACAGCTCTTTGCTGCCCTATGTGTCCAACATGCTGTCTGCCACTCACACACAGATATTCATGTGCCCTCTGTGTAACAAGGTGTTCCCCTCCCCACACATCCTCCAGCTCCACCTCAGCTCCCACTTCAGAGAGCAGGAGGGCATCCGGTCCAAACCGGCTGGAGACGTGAACGTGCCCACCTGCACCATCTGCAGTAAAACCTTCTCCTGCATGTACACACTGAAGCGGCACGAGCGGACTCACTCTGGGGAGAAGCCCTACACTTGTACCACGTGTGGGAAGAGCTTCCAGTACTCACACAACCTGAGCCGGCATGCCGTGGTGCACACACGCGAGAAGCCACACGCCTGTAAGTGGTGCGAGCGCCGCTTCACACAGTCTGGGGACCTTTATCGGCACATCCGGAAGTTTCATTGTGAACTGGTCAACTCACTGTCAGTGAAAAGTGAACCTCTGGCACTGCCCAATGTGAGGGACTGGGCCATAGAGGACAGCTCACAAGAACTGTGGAAATGAAGGCTGGGCTGGGGACAGGGCTCAGTCTGTAACCTGCTGACTCATGCTCTCATCTTCATGTATGTCGCAAATCTCATTCAATTGCACTTTAATAGCACATAAAATGTTACTACTGAATATTTTATTTCTTTATTTTGAGTTGGTGTGCGCTGTGTTTGGTGGTTTTCAGTGCGTCTCTAGACAGGTCGCAGTGAGAGTTTTGTGTTTTATTGGTGTTGTACCTCACAACGCTCCGAGTCCGACACTGGTGTCATATCAGTCAGACAGTCGAACCCACTGAAGCTGAAGCATTATCCACACTAAACGGGTACTGTGAGCACCACACACACACACACACACACACACTCATATGTGTGTGTGTCAAACTGCACTACGCTGGCAAAAATCTCATCTGGAGTGCGTGAGTGTGTGTCTGTTTTATTTAATTTTGTACTGGTATGGAGGCGCGCTCCCGCTTCTCTAAGCTCTTGATGTTGTGTAAGGGAAAGCTCATTGACAGATAGATTCACTCATGCAATGCACAGCCTCCCTTTTCACTTCCAATCAATTTGAAGTATTTTTTAAATCTTGGAAATTATAATTATTATTATTATTGTTATTATGAATAGAGTTTTTCTTAAATCTAGCTGGCAGTCTTTAAACATCTCTTGTTGAAAAGGTATTTAATTTAAGGTTGTTGTATATTGTTCTAGAGTTTTAATCTTTGACATCTTTTTAAATTAATATGATGATAATTATTATTTTTTATTACTTTTTGTAATGGGACCTGCTGTTGTTGCATGATGTCCAGACCTGTATATTTTAAAATAAAATGTGAATTTGCTGTATTACTGTACACATTGTAATTGAACAAACAGGCTTTCTTTTTTATTTTCCATTTTCTGTGAATATTTCTCAAAGGTGCAGTCTGTTAAAACAAATATTTTCACAACTGGAAAATGCATGAACATTGATTTTTGTCTTATTTAATTTGATTTTTTTTGGAGGAGGTGGATAGAATATTTTGAAAGTGAAGGGGTGATTTAGTATACTGGATGTAGGGGAATGTTAGCGGCTGCGGCGCTCTGGTGAACATGTGAAGCCTGTGTCTATATGCACTGATCTGCTGTTTGATGTGTTGTGTGTTTGTGTGTTTGTGTGTGCGAACTACTGAAGATGTTTATGTCACTAACCCAGCACTTCCTCCTGCTCTTCCTCAGGCGTTTGTGTGTCCACTGTGTGTTTCTGTGGTCCTCTCTGCTCCTCTGCACCCAACAGCAGGCACCCATGGGTGGCTTGGCTCACAGGGTGCTTCTTCAGGTCTGTGGGTGCTTTGGTGTGGCTCAGACTGGACTGAGGTTGGAGGTGGCAGAGAGTGAAACTGTCCTGCTGAATGTTGAAGCCTCAAATCTTTTCTCATGCTGAAGTTTGGCTGTGTGTTACACATAGAGAGAGAGAGCGTGTTTTAGACATTATCCATATCTGTGAACACAGAATTGGCATGCCTGAATGCACCTTTTTAAGCTCAAAGACAAAATCAGATTTTTTTGCTAAAAACTTGCCTTTTATTAAATCATTTTGAGTATTTGATACTGAAACCATTTACAGATCGGGACATTGTGTATGAATTCATGTCTATTGCAAATTAAATTTATTGGAAAATATCAATATTTTGATGATATTGGAAACAAATTGAAAATATTTTAAACATTTTCTGTTTGTGCATTTCAAAAGCTCTTTGTGAGTGGGATTTATAATGTTTTGTTTACAAACAGCTGTGGCTCACTCACTTCTTCCTCAGTATGGGCCCATAGACACGTGCATGTACAGGGCTGCAGTGGAGCCACATGAGCACTGCACTTCTGTCTGTGTGCATGGGCTTTTCCTGCTGTATGTTCTGGTTGTACTTGACTGCCTTAAACTGCTGTAGTCCAGCCTCTTCTTATTTGATTCAAATGGTGTGTGTGAAGTTTAGGGAGTTGTGCTGTGAATGAACCACCCACTAGACATCTCCAAACTTCTTGTTTTTTGTTGCTGTGCTTACTTGAAAACACAAATGTCATAACAGTTTGTAAACAAACAGGTGAAGTGTGCAGGGTGGGAGGGGTTCATAAAAGTTTTTCTGTCTCTTTTGAAAGAGGACAATCAGTGGAAAAACAAGCTGATTTAAATTCAGAGACATTTGCTCCCCGTTTGAGACTAAAACTATGTTTTTGTTTTTTTTATTTAAATTTCAGATTTAGTCATTTTTAGCTTTGACAATCATAGTTTTTATTTGTGTTTCTCAAGGGGAGTAAATTCTAATTGTGTTTAGTTTTGTAATTTTTGGTGTGTGCTGTTGTTGACATTTTTAAATTGTGTGCAAACTGCAATAAATTATAAGAATCTTGAAACTTGAACCAATTTTGTGAACTGTTTTTCTTATAGGCCAAAGTGCACTACTGTAATGTCACGTCATCATAAACACATCCAGAAGGCCCCATGCAGGAGGTTTTGGCATGTGAGCCCTATGTTTGTGATGTGGGCGTTAGTCGTGTTCATGTATATCTGTTTACATGATGGGGAGCTGCAGTGAGCTGGGTTTGGACTCAGCATGGCCACACAGTAACTTCTGATATGAGTGAGGTGTGAGCTGTATTAAGGGGGAAAAAAACTACAGCAGCTTGTCGAACGCTAACCCCCTCTGTAACACACAGGCGATCCAAAGCTCCTCAAGTCCAGTTTTCCAGTAAAGAAATCAGCTTTAGCTAATAATGTCTTGCTGCCTGCTAAACCTGCCTGTACAGATGCATTAAGAGCCCCTGCACTTGTCAGAGGCCAAGAAGTAGCAGTGTCTATTAGGGCCACAGATGGTCCCTGAGGTAAGCCCCAAACACTCGCTATAAGCTCACTCCTAATCTCACCACATTGTCCCCTGTCTGAGAGACCTAATGTTGGACCAAGGAAGCACAAGATTTTAGTCAAAAGTGGAACCTGTATCAGCAAGAGAAGAAAACATGAGCAAGTTATATGTAGTTATACTAATACACATTTTAATATAGAATATGGATGTTAATGTGATGTCAATCACACCCCACATTCAACTTTATGCAACTTAAACAAACACTCAAACATTCAGCAATAACTGTAATGAAAATTACTATCTTAGATATATGCAATAATTAATTTTATATTTAAGAATTGTTTTCAACCTGTTCAACTAGAATGAATTAGGAGTTATTGTATTTATTCAGTTCCATTCTGCAGTCAGATTTTAAGTTTAACAGGTTTATTATAACACATTTGTCCACTGTTATACACACATGTTGCCTTTGTTACTCTATGATTAGGTTAATTTGCTGTACATTTACTACACAGCCCTCTAAGCCAGAGGCTGCAGCAGGCACACTGTATGATAACGGCTGTATAGAATAAAACAGGAAAGCTTTGGTTCTGTGCTGTGGTGATCATTAATTGCAATCTGCAGCGTTCTAAGTGAACATCTGCTTGTAGACAACTGCTCCGTCTCGGCGTGCGCGAGGAGGCAGCCCGAGCTTTACTGTGAATGTAGGTCATTAATTTGTTTCTGTCTTTTGTTTACTTAAGGAAGGGGGACAAAGGGCCAGCTGCAGAACCATTTGGCTGTGCCCAGGGCGGGCCAGCTCAACATGTTGGGGAGGCTGAGACCAGCTTGGGCTCCTGTCTGGGGTCCCGGGCCCCAAGACTCTGCTGAGCTACTGCGGCCTCCTCTGTGCGTGAGGGAGAGGCCTCTGCCAAGCTGCCAGGACCCAGGGAAGGGCTCAGAATCAGGGGGGAGGGGGAGATAAGATGGGCCTGTTGACTGTGGAGTTTTTATAGTTCATCAAAATATCTTGGTTTACTTCAATGGAAACTAGCAGGTTTTGAGAGCATAAACTGGGCACTTGGCATCTGATTTATTCTTGCAAGATGTGGCCAGTGCCTTGGCAGAGGTCTAAGCCTCATGTTATGTGCTTTTATATTCTAACTGTAAGACAATTAAATGCATAAAGACTACAAATTAAAATATTTTACAAAAAATTCAGATTCTTCTGTGACTTGCTACATAGATTAAAAAATCAAAAGTGCAGGTCATTCCAGTCACTTGTTGAAACCAAGTCAAACAGAGCAGAAAGAAGTGCAGACAGACAGATAGAGACAGGAGAAAGCAGGCGTGTGTGAGCTCTAGTGATGGAGGATTGTCTCCATATTTAAAAGAGCTTCTTTGTCAACCACTCAGCACAGCAGGACAGAAGGCAAGCAACAAGCATGCAGACAATACAGTGGCACCGCGCTGGAGGAGGGAGGGCCAGTGGAGGGGGCCAGGGGGAGTTTTTTGGGAAATACTGGGGGTAGAGTATCCCAGAACAGCCAGCCGCTCACAACCACACCCCACCCCGCTGTCCTGGAAACAAAAGACAACTTGAACTTGAATATCTGTGGGAGGGGGGCCTCAAATAGCACTTAAAACCACAAACCCCATCATCCACTGCCATTCACAAATATACAATCACAATGTATAAATAAGAGGTCAGGGCTGCTGCAGTGTAGCCACAGGTAGAGCTAACCTGTCCTTTAGCATAGGCACAAGAGGACAAAGGCCCCCAGCTGGAGACAGGATTAAACGTGTGTGTGCGTGCGTGTGTGTGTGAGATAGGGGGAGGCACGGAATAAAAACAATCTCATAAACAACTACAAATACCAAGACACATATGTATGTACTAGTATTTTCAAAAGAATAGTTATTAATGAATTGATAAATGAGTTGAGATATATAGATACTTTGTAATTCTGCTGCTGAATCATCTTACTGGGCTGTTTATTTATTTTTCATTTACCCAAATTTCAGTTATTTAACATAAAGGTACATTATGTAACTTTTTCTGAGATATTACTGCTGTGTGGACAGGTGACACTACTCAGTAAGCATGTTCTCAGTGTTTTGGGGCAATTAAAATACTTCTTATTGAAAAAATGCTAAATAGACAGATGCAATGACAAAGTGTGGAATATTCTGGACAAATCAATAACATCTCTATGGAGACAAGCAAGTGGAGGCCCCCCTCACCTGAAAAGTTAGCCACTCACACCACTTTGTAATAAACTAAATAAACTACATTGTATCATTAATAAACTAGACTTAATTTATAATAAAGAAATAGGGCTTGGGCATTGATTAATTTTAAGTAGTTACTTCTTAGTAAACTAGTTATAAATTAAGTTTTTCTCCTTGGTTTAATAAGGCTAATCATAAAAATGCAAAAGTTATTATAATAAAGTGTTACAAATAATGACATTGAGAGTCACAAAATCCAAATAAAATAATATAAGTTGATGTATACACAGACTACAGAGCTACAAAGTCCAAAAAGAAGCAGGAAGAAGTAACTGATTTACATATGGGGTGAACTTGGGGACTTTTTAAATAATGTTGTTGTTTTTTTTTTTGATTGTGAGAAATAATTTGTCCCATTTTAGCCCAGAAGTTTGCAGTATCAGAGTAGTTCATGTTTTACTGGCTCAATAGTGCTTTAAGTAACCTTCAGAAAGTCAACCTTGCACCTCATGCCCACAGTTGTTGGTTTATGTAATTATAAGCAAAGCATATTTTATTCAGCTGTCAGATCTTAAATACTTTACATGTAAAAAAGTTAGAAGTGTGCCATTGCATGTGCCTTCTTTTTTCAGTTGTCCTCCTCTCTGTGCCCTTGCCCCAGCTGTGTGGGTCTGCCAGATAAGGGGCATTACCAGGGCGTGTCGGGGTGTTGTTGGAAACTGCTGGCACTGGGACACATGTGCACGACTCAGCACTTTATCATCGCCACGGTGACCTGACGGGGTCACACAGGGAGGGGTCCAACCACTGCCACTGAACATAAACCCGGCGCTCTGCTGTGTGGAGGAGACTGGTGCTGCTGTTCAGTGTGTGCGTTTGTTTTACGTGACGGGGACATCTGCTGCATCTGCCCGCTGAGCCATACACATGTAGACACATACACACACACAGACACACACACACATACACACACACATACAAAGAGAGCAGCAGTCACACAGCTGTGCCGTTGTCCGACATCAAGTTCACTCCTACTGTCATTGTGTCTGTCCTCCTCCTGCGGAAACTCTGTGTAGACATGATGAACAGGGGACTCTTTACAGTTTACAACCCTGCTACACAACATGCAAGAGGCAAAATACAACACACTGTTTTAGTAAAGGATAGGGTGGAGGTTGAATCATTACTTCCTGCAGCATAGTATATAGGTCTGCTGTTGTTGTGTCCTTGGGCAAGACACTTTACCATCTTGTCTGGAGGAATGGTTTCATGTTGAGGAGTTGCCAATTTGGAGGATTGTGCAAAAAAGACTTATCAGATAATCAAAGCCCAGACCTTCTTGTTGTCACGTTGAAAACATGCAAATATACATGGACATATGTTTTACAAATAAACACATGACAACAGGAAACATTAGGCCTGGAGTATATTTTAGGTAGAAGCATTTCAGTATATTAAAGTTGCAACAGGAAAATATACATTTGCTTTTTGTTAACTATGTAATATTGCATAGCTATTAAAATGCTATTAATTTATTCTCATTAATTGATTTATTTTGTAGTGTTTCACCATTTCCATGCATTAACCCTCTTAGAAATAGTGGCATGGGACATCATCATTTATAATCCCAAAAAAGAAAATGAATGAAAGCTGCCAAACCCGAAATAATTTTGATGAACCACTGCACTGATGTGAAAGCATGGACATTTTGAAACTATTATTCCAGCCTGACAAGTTGAAAAATCGACTGTAGGAGCAGAAAGACCCAAATTATGCAAACAATATGTGGAACCATGTCCTCCACGACATCTATTTGTCTATTTATCATCCGCTCCGACGTTTTCTTGACACAAAAGAAGACACTGAAAACACCACTGACAGCAGAGACGCAGTGTGCACCAGCCTGTTGTGTGTTTGTGCGTATGTGTGTAGCTAGTGTGTCTTCTTCTCTCACCCTATGATGCCAACCTCTCCACTCCCTCCCAGCTCTGGCCAGGCTCAACCCATCTGTCAGATTCCTCCTTCCATCTTTCCCCCTGGTGCTGTCCATTGCATGCTCTGTCTCATCCAACCACCGTCCTTAACAAAAACTTCTTTATTGTGAGCTGTTAAAAGCAAACATGTGGCCTGTCCAGCTTGAGCAATAATAATAAATGTCACTATCAAAAGACAAAACTGTTGAGCCCAAAACCTTTCCTCTGTCTTCTCCTGGAGTCTTGGGGCCAGTGTGGGGCCCCGCAGGGCCCGGGTAGAGCCCTAAGGCCCATGTGTAACTGCTTCATGCTGAACCAAAGTCATCCAATCTGGGCCACAGAGACAGGGGTCCAGCCCAGGGAACTGGCACTG